TGGAGCCCACAGGGATCACCTTTTTTTCTGTGGGCTCGAGTCACCATTCATTGTTTGATGATTTGATTCCTCTTGGCTGCCTTTGGCGCTGTCCGCTCCACTGTAACGTTTCGCTGGCCTAGAAAATGACAGGCGGCTTTTTGAGCAGGAAAGTTCAAGAGCAGAAATAAATTCTATTTTTAATCCTTCCTCTCATTTTCCGTGTGTGACACAATTTCTCACAGCACGGCAGTTCCAGGGTGTGGTGGTGTCACAGAGCTCGCCTTGCAGCCTGTTTTACAGATCCTAACCTGTTTACACGCTTTCCTCTAGTTGGAAATTTCAGGTTTGGGGGGGGTTATTGTACTATTAATACCTGAATGGCACTTTGATTTATCGCAGTGGGTTGGCAGCAGATCTGTGGGATGAGAAAATACAAGCTAGGAATTTAAAGAAGTACTCCAGCATTAACCAAGCTGAACTGTGTCAAGTGGTGATAAATTTTCTGCTATGCCCTTGATCACCTTGTTATTAATGTCATCAATCTCTCTCTGTAAGAAGTGGCTCTGGGCATGCCCATATGACCAAATGTTCTGCTAAATAATTTATCATTGGGTCGTGTTGCCAGAATTTGCTGCTTTCCAATTTAATCTTAGCAACTTACTCATCCGTTTCTTTCTTTGGAAACAAAAAGCTTCACGGATAAAAATGAGTCAAATGTACTGATATGTACATGGAGACTATTTAGCATTGAAACTTCATGCTGCTTGTGCTAGAAATGTTTTTCCATCTTTTAAAACAACACCCCAAAATTAACAGTTGTGAGAGAGATCACTCCAGCAACACAAGCTGTTTCTGCTGCCAGAATCCGTATCCCAGCTGGCTCTCCCTGCCCCTTCAGTAGTAACTCAGTCCTCTCTACCTTTTAAGAGGGCATTTAAGAATGCCACACCACTGGGATATCTCTAGAAATAAAACATTACAATGTCAGTTTGATTGTTTAATTAAAAATTACCAGGGATACCCATCTCTTTGTTGAACTGGTTATTGTTCGTAGCTAAAGCAAAATAAGTTCTAAGCAAATGGTTTAAAAATATTATTTTCTCTTCAGTTACAATTAATTTAATTTAGACTAGCACTGTATTAATTTGTAGCATCCAATTATTTAATGAATCATGGAGAAAGTTTGCTAATTATGGAGTCATTCATTTTTCACAGGTTTGAAGGTGTACACTCACATATATTCTATCAAGACCATGAGCTTTGTTCCACCCACACCCTTCTTTAATGGTGTCTGTTATTTCACATAAGAAGTCAATTTGATTTTAGTTGAACCATATGTACTGTCCTATACTACTTAATTTTGTTTGTGTTCCTCCAGGGATTTTTAGCTGAAAGCTCTTGCATCTGTTCTATCTGTGACACCGTTGGGTTTTCCCCCTCCAGCTTCTTCCCAGGAATCAGTGGGCAGCAGCCTGCTCTCCAAGGATTAATGCCAGCCTTCCACGCATTTACCCATTCACAGACTCTCCTCTTTCAGTGTGGCTCACAGTTTTGTTTTTATTAATTCCCCCTGGATATTAACTAGAATTGGCCAAATATAAGATAGGCTTTGTGCTCTCTTTCCTAATGAGTCAGTTGACTGCACTTTAAAATCAGTATTTTCATAAGATCACTTGCAATCTTCCCTGCTATTTACTGTTTGCTTGCTACTCATTCTCCACTATTGAACAAAACATATGGCAGTGGGTTTTTTTCCCCCTGAATGCATGCCTGAAACTTTTTAAAAGGGAAAAATGAGAATAGTTAATGAGCTTCTCCTTCTGGGAATCAAAACCCCAAAACAAACAAGCATTTGTGAATACATGAATGTGGTTAGTAGGAGCCATGAATATTTTCACTGATACTCCTTCCCTTCCTGAATGCTCTAGGATGATGCAAGGATTTATTTCCTGCCTTTAATCCTGTTAGTTGACTTTCTAATGAAAATATAAATCAGCTACTGTTTTAATTTCCTATCACCATGCGTAGCTCATGTAGGAAAAGTCACTGTGTCCCACAGTCACTAGAGCATATTTCTTATGCAGTTTAAATTTCCAATTATAAATATACATTATCCATAATTTTACTGGTGACTGTTATGTGTATTTTCTATCCCCAAATTCTTTGGTTTTCCTATGGGATACCTAGCATAGACTTGTACAAGAAAGCTGTCACTGTGACACATTACACCAGTATCTTCTAAAGCCCTGCTCTGTAAAATCTACATTTAAGCAAAAGGTGTGGTAAAATTCCTGATACCATGAAAAGCTTTGCCGACGCTGTATGTATAGATCAGGAACCTATGAAGAAGATCAAGAAAATCGTGAATACATGTAAGAATCCATTTAAATCAATATTTAACAACAAAGTTGTTTCTGTGTATGTGTATACATTTTCAAGCCTTAGGGGTCTGTAAAACTGAAGCTGCTTTACCAGTGTAGGTTGCAGTTGTTGTTTCACTTCTGATGCTGAGCTGAATTAGGAGCCACAGGCATTGCCAGGGACCAGGCTATCCAGTCAGGAGTACTGTCTCCAGCATCCACCAGCACCCCATGATACAGGGAGAAGCTTAAGAAATGTCATTATAGACTACTGGATTGAACACTGTTTTGTCTTCTTAACTGTAACTCCTTAGAAATGAGTTTAAATGCTAACAAAAGGAAGCTTCAAAACCTGTTAGGGTTTAATCGATAGTTCTAAGTATTTTTGTTGTTATTTGAATGTCTTACTCCTGCCTAAACTATCTGCAGGTACGGAATGCACTGGGCAGCTTTTTGGGACAAACTCACAGTTTTTCAAAAAACATCCTGCTGGGGTGGTACATCACCAACAACTCCTTGTTTACCCTGAAGACTGCTAGGGATACAGCCAATAGCTGGGTCTATTTGGAATAAATGCAGCTAGTTACACAGTCAGCATTTTGGATTTCAAATCACTCAAAAGTTCAGGCAAACTTAAACCATGCACACAGATGTAATAAAGGTAAGACTGAAATACAAAGTTTACAACAAATCTGTATTTGAAGTTAAAGTTTCTTTGGAATCTCCTCATAAAAATTGACAGTATTCAGATCTAGCAGTTTAATATGGATCACATTTAATTTCACGTTGTGGGCTCCATGTATTTCTCACAGTGAGGCTTTTGCCGAGGTGTTTTACCAGTCAGTCACTGATGATTACTCAGGAGCAAACAAGAACAGAGGTTCAACATGAGATCAGACACTGAGCAGATGAGCTCTGTGCTGTCCAGTGCTTTATCTCCCATCTTCCTTTACATCAAATCGCTTTTCTAGTTTTATTCTGAGCCTTCCTTGCTTTCAATGATATGTGACAGATGGTATGATTCTGTAATTCTGTGACAAAAATCTAGGACTCCTTTCCTTGTGCTAATATTCATATTGTATTTATTAACTTTATCCTGTCTCTACCAGTATAAGTAAATATTTTGGCAGAAAGCCCTGTGACTTCCCTCCTGCTGCACAAATGGCCACATTTTCCATCTTTGAGAAATGAGATTCTCCTCCTTCCCAGTTTGCTTATCCTTTCCCACTTTTTCCAGCGAGTGTGAAACTGTTATAAATATAACACCTCCATGCTCCTACCCACAATCCAGGTAGCATCACTCCCTTCAGCAGCTCATGACTTTTATAGCTCAGACAACTGTGGATGATGTTTTCCTGCTTTTTCGAAGCAGTCAGTGGCCACCTCTTCTGTTCCACTTCTAAACACTTGGAAGCGTTTTTTTCCAGTCACTGAGGTGACTGACTTAGTTGCTCTTTGGATTAGAAGTGTATACCCCGTTAATCTGTTCTTAGCAAGAGTGAGTATATTCCCTGCCACTCAAGTGCCCTGCAGGTGACTGTGGATGCAAACAGCGCTTCCCCCTCTGAAAGGTGGTGTCAGTGAGGGGCGAGGAGGTGGGACACACGCCCCGGGCAGTGCCAGCCGCACAGTTTATGGGTGGTACAGAGTAACTCCCTGCCCGATAACCTGTGGATACGTCTGTGTTCAGGCTCCTGTCCCCAGCATTGCAATCTTCCTCTCCTCAGATCTCTGGGCCGCACAGCTCCCAGGGCTGGGACAGGGACAGGGACACTTGACCTGCACAGAGTGCTGCAAACAAACCTGCCCCTTTTATCAGTGCAAAGGCAACCCCAGCACCCGCCGTAACCAAATCTTTCCTCTGGGCTTTGGAACCTTCCCCCCATTTGTTGATTTTATCTTGCTTATCTTTGGCAGGCGCTCATTTCTTTTATCTTTCAGCACTGCATTACGGGCGATTAAACGAAAACCTCCGATTCTGAAGGAACATTTGTAGGGCCCGGGTAAGTCAATACTGATAAAGAGGTTCCTCAGAAATTGCTAAATGGGGACGCAGCCTCGAGCAGCGCCGACCAACACTCGCTCCAGGTGAGGGCAGCTCTGATGTGAAGGGAGCGATCTTGGCTCGGTCGTGCAGGCAGAGATCCAGGCCACGGAGCTCTGCGGCGGCTGCCCCGGGCGACACCGTCCCTTAAAACCTCATCTCTAGGGAAGCTGGGCAGCTCCCGAGGCACCTCCGGCGCTCTGCGGCGGTGACTTTGACCGGGGGACGCGTCAAAAAACACCCATTATTAACAGGCGCGCCGGCGGCACACGAGGCACATCCCGCTCGCTCCGAACCGCGGCCGCCCCTCAGCGCCCTCAGCCGCCCCGCGGGCGCGCATGCGCAGCGCGGCCTGGCCGCGGGGGGGGAGGGTTTTCCCAGGCTCCGCCCCCCCTCCCGACCCCGCCCCCTCACGCCGGTTTGCCCCGCCCCCCCTCCCGCGGGTGACCTGTAGTAACCCCGCGGCGCGGGAGCCCGGCCCCGCGCGCCACCCGGCGCGGGCCAACCAGGAGGCGCCGCGGTGCATACGGGATGAGCGCGCGCGGCGGCGGCGGCGGTGGCGGCGGGGGGGGCCGGCCCGGCCGCGGCTGAGCCCGATCCGGAGCGCGGGGCGCGCACTCGGGCCGAGCGGAGCGGGCGGAGCCGCCGCGGAGCGTCCCCCGCGCCGGGGCCGGTGAGTGCGGGGCAGGGTGGTGGTGGGGGGGGGACAGCGCGGGGCCTTACGCCCGCCGGGAACGCGCCCGCCCGCGCCGCGCTGCGCTGCGGGGCCCCGCCGGGCCTCTCGCCGCCTCCGCGGGGCGAGCGCGGCGGCCGTGCGGGCCGCGGCGGGGCGGGGGTGCGCCCCGAGTAATCAGCGAGATAAACAGGCGATAGCGAGGGGGTGTTTTCCTTAGGCTTTGCTTTGTGTTTCGGGTGCGGGGAGCGCGGCGGGAGCTGGCGGGGCCGGGGCAGGTGCCCGGTGCGGGCGGTGACACCCCCCGAGCTGTCCCCGCGGTGTCCCCGGCCCGGTCGCTGCTTGCTCGTGGTGCGCGAACGCGTGCGGTGTGAGAGCTGCAGGGCCGGAGGAGGCGCGGGCCGGGATTGGCAGCCCCGTTCCAGTGTTGCCATTCAGGTTTCCAGGGGTTTCGGTGCTGGATTTAGTGCCTGGGTAGGTTCCGTCGCTGAGCTCTCCCGGGAAGGGTAGCACAGACCACCCTTCGCTCGAGGGGAGGGAAGAAAGGCTTGAAAGGCTGTTTCGGATAGTTTCATTGAGAGGGTGAAGTTCAGTGTTTGGGACCTGTATAGAATCTCTGGGAAATAAGCAAACAGTGCCTTCAGAGAAAGTAAGGCAGCAATAGAGTAAAAATAGTTCTAAGGTAGCTTAAAAGCACTGCTGCATTTGTTTTTTAGCTTGCTGAAGAAATAAGCTTCCCAAAACGCTTAATTATTATGTACAGCAACTGGTATTTAATTTTTTAAAATCAGAAATACTGCATTTTGTTTAAAAGTACCAGATTCTAGAACGTGGCTTTTTTTGGCCTGTGAAATGGATTTGATAACACCAGATGTGAAATTCTTGTATTTAAGTAGCCTATCTTTTTATCTTGTTCAGTTCTCAGTACGGACTTTATGAAATGAGCAATGCCAATATTTATGAGTGATACCAATGATAAATGATTTTGGGTACTTTCAGAAGTCTGATAAGGGTAAAGGCAGTCATTTTTACTCAAAATACTTTGAAATATTATAGAAGCGTTAAGGAATATTTGAACTGACATGAAATTTTTGTTGTTGTTGTTTAAGCATCATGTAAAGAAAAAGCGTAAAATGAAACCAAAAAGCTTTAATGACATTTTTGTCTGGTTACATTCTGCTGTAGATATGGTCTTTCTCCAGAGTGGACTGGTGTCTCATTGAGCAGGATGTCACTGTGGCATATGACTTTTTTATTTCCTGAGGCTAAAAAGTAAAGAAGTTTGAAATAATAGATGTGTTATCAGCTCTTAACTATTCCCTAAGAGGAAGGTAATCATTTGGGTGTGCTCTTAAGACTTGATGCTCATAACCATCTGCGCCACTGTGAGAGCAAGCTGCTTTTCGTAGTATTTGACTGTCCTGTGTGCTTTGAAAAGTTAAGGAAAGATATTATGAAGTCTGGTAATTCCTCCTTGTCCTGTGGATTCAGGAGTCGTTGAAACTAAACATTGTAACTTACAGACCTGATTTTCTTTGTAGTTGTTCAGCGTGTTTGTTATTGTTAGTGCGTGGAAACCAGAGGTAGGTTCACATTTAATGTTTGTACGTTCAGTGCCGATGGCTGGCTGACAGACTTGAGTCATTCTGATGGAGCTGCTGATTTTGTGGTGGAAACTGCTGAAACACATAATACAGTCATCCTGTGGTATGGATCTGGTCCCTTCTGGCTGATCAGGAAAGCAAACTTCTTGCCAGCAGATACAGAATCCCTCCGAGAGAAGCAAAGTTACTGACTCAATTCTAAAATAGCCTGTTTGATCTGCAATAAACTGGCACTTGGTTCTGAAAGTTGTGCTATCTCCAAGTGTCCTGTTCCACTCAAAGTAAGGATTAATACAGTAAAAATCTCAGCCTCTATTCTGTGTGTGTCACAGTACTGGGATGTTTTGAGAGGGAGCTCTGGGTTACAGCTGTGTACAGGGGGTAGACTCTCGATACCTGTGCGTCTGGAATTCTCTGGGGTTTTGACAAAAGCACTGTTAATGTCCTTAAAAAGAGGTGTCAGGACTGTGGTGTGTTGAATCTGAGTCCTCTTTTCAGAAGTGTTTGTGAGTGGTTCCCACCTTCCCTGCTCCATCTCTCTTACTTGGAGAATCCTGATTATGTAAGAACACTGAGTAGAGCATGCTGGTATGTGTAACTTCTCAATTTATGACACTGTTATAAAACCATAATGCCTGTAAGAAATAATTTCTCAAATCAAAAGTTCTGGTTCAGCCAGAAACTTAGGAAAATCAGAATGGCATTTATTGGAAAACTGATAATCTTTGAAGAACTAGAAGAAATATCTTCATGCTTGACTTAAAGCGTGGTGTGTTTTTGCTGAACTGGTGAGCATTTAAGGCATTGATTTCGCCAGCCCACATTCAGTGCTGATTGTAGGGCTTTTATTCTTCTTTTCTGTAGACTAGTGAATGGTTTGAGCCACAGTCATACTAAAGACCCAGATTTTTTTCAATGAATTGTTGAGACATCTGGAACAAAGCATCATCCATGTCTCGGGACAAAATGCAGAAGAGCTGTGGATAAAGCATTCTTGTTCAAGGAGATCCAACTATGGAGTAAATTTGCAGAAAGTAGCAGGGAGAACTGAGTCCCGAATTGTTTAGTGATCTACATTTTCTTTTGAAATATAAGTTCCAGTGGAAGAGTAACTAAACCTGTCCTGACAAAAAACTGTTACTTATTGCCACAATGGCAAATCCAAAGGAATAATGCAATCTGATGCTGCAATGTTATCAGACCCTAAAGGCTAGGTTCAGGTGGCCTGGATTCCACTGAAGCACCTTTTCTCTTCAGTGGAGAAATCGAGGTGGTTTTGAAGAGCAATTCAGAGAATTTACATATGACACTGAATCAGGAGCTGCCTGAAAGCCAGCTAATAAGAAATAGGAGGCAGAAGGATTTATGTGGAATTTAGGCCATCTGAATATGGCCCTAAGATGCGACTTAGTACTACTAAGTAAGGTGTATTAACACTAAGAAGCCTTGGCTTCAATTTCTATCCATTTCGTCTGCTGCCGATTACTAAGCAAATTTACCATTTAAGCAGCTGTTTGAGCGTGGGGGCTTCCTGGCTTGTTCCCTGTCAGGAGTGACCCCCTGCACCAGTACAGCCTGCCTGGGGGTAGCTCTGCTGAGAGGGCTCTTGGGGTCATGATGGACAGCGAGCTGAGCAACAGGGCCAACACGTGCCCTGTGTTAACAGGAGCAAAGCCAGTAGGTGGAGGGAAGCAATTATCCCATTCCATTGGCACTCTTTAGACTGCATCCAGAATACAGCATCTAGTCTTGCTTCCCTCCCTGGGACAAGGGAAGTGTTGATAAACTGGAGGGAGTTAAGTGGACTGCTGCCAAGATTGTCTGGAGTCCTGAGGTTTTGCTTTGTGAGGAGAAGTAGAAGAAACTTGCCTGCTGAGCCTGGAGAAGAGAAGGCCTGGGGAACTCTTCCAGAACCCTGTGTGGAGGTTTTCAAGAGAATGAAGCCAGGTTCTTCACAGTGGTGTATGGTGAGAGGACAAGAGACAGCAGGCATGAGGGGTCTGTCTCTACAAGGCATTTTTCACCCTGAGGTCTGTCAGGTGATGAGACTTGCTGTCCAGAGAGCTTGTGCAGATTCCTTCCATGGAGGCTTTCAAAATCCAACTGGATAGAGCCATGAGAAAGCAGGTGTGATCTCACTTTGAGCTTGAGGCTGAACCAGAGTCCCCCTGCTGTCCTTACCCACTTGAATTGTCCCATGGCTCTGTTAAGTTTGTGCCAACAGAGCAGTCTCAGTGGAAGGTTCGGAGCCAGCTTGTTTAGGGCTGCGTGTGGTCTGGCAGTGCAGGTTTACACATCAAACTTGGAGGAGTATAGCAAGCACTCAAGCCAATCTTAAGCTGTTCCAAAATGGCAGGACTTTATTTGTTTAATTATGCAGTTAGAGTTGGAAGAACCTGCTCTTCATCCTGAGGGCCTGGTCTACATCAGTGTTTGCCATGTAGTAAGGCCTGAAGGGCTTTCAAAGCATTCAGTACTCAGCTTTGAGATACAGTTTGGGATCTAATGATTCTGAGTCTTTTGAAGGAAATCCCCTGGACAAGGCCATGTCCTAACCACATCTGAATGGCTATTTTGAAATACAGGACTATGGGCAGGAGGGGGATAAATAATGCATAATAAAGCTCAAACCTTACTGTATATTACCTTTTAAATGAATTAGAGGAAAGTTGTTCAGAATTCAAACTGGTGTTAAAATCAGCTCAATTCAAAACTTGCAGGAGTATTTTACTGATCCTTGGGAAGGAATTACTCAAGGTGCTGACTGAGAGACTGTAATCCCGGAGGAGGAGGTGGCAATTTGTCACCACATGATCATTGGGAAGTTGTCTGTCCCTCAGTGTTCGTGAGTCTTGTTAATTATGAAAATGTGCTAGTTAATTACAGTATCTGAAATGGGACAAGCTGGCTTCTCAGTTCTGTGCGTTTCCTGAAAAGCGAGGAAGATAAGATTATTGAAATTATTGAAATTGAAAGTATGAGACCTGGAAGGGGAAAATCAATAATAAATATTAGAAGTGACTTGCTGAAGATGAAGCAGCAGAATAGCAGTAGTCCTGCACTGCCAGACCCAGTTCCCCACCTATTTGCTGTTTTACTTTTCTGTCTGTGTGGAACATTCTCTCCTAAGCATACTTCAAACTGAAAACTATGTAAAAACACTTCTGCATCTTTAGAGGAGAGACTTCTGCCTTTCCGTTACTGCTCTCCAGGACAGGGAATGGAACACGCCTCATTTTGTTCAGGTTGGCTGAGACATGCGGGAAAACTGGACCGTCCTCAGGAAGGTTTTTCCTTGGTGCTTTGCTTCTTGAGCAATTAGTGCAGTGTCATACATCAGTGTGCACGATGACACAACGTTTACTGGACCAGACATACGGAATGATTTCTATCAAC